ATTCGAGAGTTATATAACTTTTCCTGAGATCTCCGATTTTAGTCACTTGACCTGTGATCAAATGGGAAAAGCAGCTTGATAGTAGTGATTCCCCATGCTGAATCGACTGGTGACATTTATTTTTAGGTTCACCGGAATTTGATTCTGTTATCTCAATAACTTTGAGATTTCACAATCAGTCTACATGCAACGAAAGACCTAATATTTCTGAAATATTAAGATAACAGTGCTAGATCATCTCGAAACTAACAACAAATATCCTCATTCGGCTAAGCACCATGATGACCCCTACTTAGTAACTTTTCCGAGTGGTCACAGATCTATTGACTGATATATTGGGATATCAAGAAAAGTCTTATAAATCTCGAATGGAACAAGTTAGGAATGTCTGCTTTTTCTACATCGAAAGACAAGAAGTTCACAATATTGTTTTCGAAAATCTCTACTAAAAACTCAATTGATTGTTCAATTTCTGATCAATGAAATTTCTATATATTTCAATAACCTTGAATCTTTTCTTATAAATAGTAAAAATCACAAATCACTATGATGTTCCTACGAAAAGTTATTCAAAAAACAGTGTAGTACATTATATTTAGAAAAGAATGGTAGTTATCCTCAAAAAATAAATATGAAAATATAAGCGATTAATTGATTCGGCACTATTGAAAATATTTACACTACAAAAGTAAATATTCCCTTTAGTAAACCAGTTAAAAAAAGAAACAATATTTATAGTATAAATGATTCTAACTCTCATCGAATACGTCTGATACACTTTTCGATTCTGTTGAAGAATTCATTGAATTGACGTCATGTCTATGTTTAGTTTTATTTGATGTTATGTAAAAGAAGTGTCACCGGTAGGAGGCATCTGTTCTTTTTTCTTGGCTGCTCGTTTATCAATACGTGATTTGCCTGGTGCAGATATTTTAATGCCTAAATCATCATCAGTTAGACGTTGAGTATCCGTAGCAGATGCAACTAAAGTATAAAAAAAAAAAGGACTAATGAACTATTTTTTCATTGTGTACAAATCAACACGAATATTCACCTGCAGCCTATAGAAATAGTAAAAAAAAATAAAATTGAATTAAAATAAATATGAAACAGACACTTGATTTTAAACTCACTTGTAATTGTTGTCGAGTTTCAGCATCTTGCAATACAGTCATATCAATTGGTCTTTCAGATGTCAATTCAGTAAGCCATGGAGATGTGAGAATCTCACCGATTGTAATACGACTTGTTGGATCAACTGTAAGCATTCGTCGAATAATCGATTTTGCTTCGTTTGAGATATTTCGCCATTCAGCATCAGGAAATTCATACCTACCAGCCCTAGTCTTCGTTTTTATATGAGGACTAAGCTGTTGCTCACTTTCTGGATAGAAAGGTGGATAACCGCATAGAAGAATATACATAATTACACCCATCGACCAAATATCACAGGCCTGTTTTACAAGAAATAAAATAAACAAATAAAAATTCTTTATATTTCACAAAATAAGAACAAAAATCGAAGTATGTTTGAAATCAATAGAGTAGAAAACATATTTTTAAACTTGACTTTTGTTTTTATAGACTAGAGAAATAAAACATGATTAGCATATTACTTTATCATATTTTTCACGAGCTAGAATCTCTGGTGCAACATGACATGCTGGAAATCTAAACAAAAAATCTAATGAAATAATTCGATATTTTTAATTTATTTCAATACAATGGAGTGGTAAATGGCAGTAATTGATTGTCTCCTTTAAAACATAATAAACAGAAATTAATCAATTCATTTCTTTTGCAATAACTACTATTTTACCTTTTTTAGCAAATCCGAAATCACAAAGTTTGAGAATAGCATCATTTCTGTCATTTGTTAAGAGTAAATTGTCTTCTTTTAAATCACCTATGATTATAAATTAGATATTTTATCATATTTTTCTATTGTAAAACTGCATACGATGAGCCTATAAACATTAAGATGGATAAGAAAACATATATAAATAGTAAGTTACATTAGAAAAATCTTACTATATTCATGGTATGTAAATGATTAACAGCTTGAACAATCATCCAAATATATCTTGCAGCATCACGTTCCGTATATGGCTCCTTGTTTCGTTTACAAATATACTTGAATAGGTTACCACCTTCCATACTAGAATAAAAATTCATTAATAATCATATATAGATGCATATATCAGTAAAAAAATAATTCTACCATTCCATTACAAGCAATAAGCTTTTCTGAGAATAATACATCGTTTCCTGCAATCGCCCAATAGATTAAATCAATAATTCAGTAAAGGAAAGAAAGAAAGAAAAATAATTCGTACATAGACATCCACTATTTGTACAATGTATTGACAATTTTCACATGCTATTTTATGCAGAATAACTTCTTGTCGAGCTTTGGGTGAATCTTTTAAAATCTATGGAATTTTCAAATATAAATCATTTGGTATATATATATATTAAAAGAAATTGAAGAAATACTTTAAGAGCACATTTTTGACCTGTTCGACGATGTTGACATTTGAGTATTCTACCATTTACACCACAACCTAACGCTTCTTTTGATATTTCATAATCTTCGTCAATGGCATTGTGTCGTGTTGCAAATGGAAATGCACTATATTTGTTCGCACTGTTTGATTGATTAAAATAAATTTATTTGATTTATGAAAATTGAATGAACAAAGATTATACTGATTAAAAAGCTTGAGATTTCCTAACACTATCAAGCATGCTGTGTGAATCATTATAAATGAAAAAGGACATCAATTTGCTAGAAATTCTATTCTTTTCATGTTGTATCACTTTTCTCTACAGTAATTATTCTTAAAAATGATCACGGATTTTTTTCTATAAATAAATATCTTTTACAAAACGAATGAATTCAAAAAAATGAGATGATTGAATACATAGCTTTATCCACGAAAATAAATACTATCCAGTGATGTAAAAAAAACGAATGAAATGCACTAAAGCTATAAATTTTTAACATCATAAATAAGCATTCTAATTTTCATTTCATGAGACATAAAAAAGCGATATGTTTGAAACCATTTTCTTGAGTTTTTTTCAGTCAATAAGAGAAAAATATTATATTTAAAACAATATATGAATTGATCCGCTCACTTTGTATTTGTTGTAGTTTTATCAGTACTCTTCGCCATGTATAGAAATTGTACACAGGTAAACAAGTATGTAGATTTGATGAGTGATAAATAATAAATGAATCTGAGTAATAAAAAAAAATAATTAGTATGTTTTCGATGTCTGGAAGAGTGCAGTTTAAATTTAGCAAAAAATTTGCAAATTTTCATTTGATTCATTCATGTGAAACAGCAAGAAACTATTTAGCAATGGATGAAGAATATAATACTCTATGTTGCATCGAAATACCGAACAGAACATATGAGACACGTGTAAAATATTGCTTAATGAAACAAAGTATAAATAACAATAATAATGATGTAATAGAAAAGAACGAAAAAAGTAAAAATAACACTATCAACGTAAGGATGTGACGATGGGCTTTTTCTTAGTGGTTTTTTAATGTAATATTAATATATTTTTCTAAGTTATTGCAAAATCATAAAATAATCATGGATAATGTCCCTGTTGAATATGATTAACATGTTGATTTAACCTAGAAGACATGTCCGTCGCAATTGTGAGTCAATACACATGATTCGAACGCCCAAGAAATTTATATGTAGTCAATTTGTTGATTAATATGGCTTTTTTTGGAAAGATGAAGTTGACAGAACAATAAACGCCTCAGAGTTCAAAGGCATGGATATAAAAATGAGGATGTAGAAATGTCAGCTTTTTTTTTTCGTTCTTTCATCTACATTCCTACAGCCGTCTCTGACAACGTCATCGTTTGTCGCTGTATTTTGTGTAAGTTTGTCTGTGTCACCATTGCATTGTATGTGGGAAAGAAAAGAAATCGGAATTTATCATTGAACATTAAAGTAAAATATATGGTTTTAGGAGAAGGCAAAGTTCAAGTGATTCGAGGAACGATCATAAATAATTTACAGAAGTTTATTAAGAACAACATCATCATTTTGAAATAGCTATCGTTCTAGACTATTCGAGCGAAACAAGTAAGAAATAATTTGTTTGCCTACTCTGTACGTAGTTAAATATTGTAACCATTAGAACGCGATAAAGTAAATAATAATGAATCAACATATAAAGTTTGGATTCTATTTTTACTTAAAATCGATAATATGTCTTCGGATAAGTTATCGTCTATTGTTCAATGTTAATCTAATGAATTTAATTCAATAAACTTGGTCCTTACTTTATCTTCATCTTTTATTGTTGATTTCTCACTAGTTCTGTATGAATTTTCAATTGAAAGAATTTTCTGATTATTAGAAAAAGATCCATCGAGTTGTAAAGTTAGTATACATACAAAGAATAAATTATCTTTGATTTGTTGGCAGATTTTTTATTTTCGAACTAAGTAATCTCTTATAAAAGAAGAATCTAAAACAATTCGAAGCTTTCTCAGTTTTCAACTATGTTTTCAGTTGTATACATCTACATTGAGTTCTGGTACTTGAGTACTAAACGCATATGGTTATGTATAAAAGTTATTTCCGAGTACAGGACAAGAAATCTCCGTCGGTAGGTGTTGATGAAACTCAAATGAAATTAGAAACAGTTTACATTTGTAGAGAAAATGAAATTATATAAAATTTGGTAATATTAATGGAAATTATAGATATATACAGAATTCTTTTACAAGATATTTGACGAGTGAGAAGTTCCTTGGAACGATTTTTTTGTTCCATCCAATCCCACATGGACCCCTGGTGTCTTCACATCTCTTTAAATAGATTATGTTTATATCAATCTATCTCCGTTAGAATATTTTGGAAGTATTAAGAATCAAAGGATATAGCTCTATATATATATTTTTTTTTTTTCATCAGGATAATAATCAAGTATACTAGTACTTGAATGCATTTCCAAGGAAATCCAAAGAAAATATCGTATGACAATAATAAAAAGGATTCTGTTAATGTTTTTGCTAATTTTTTTTCGAAATCTGTTTAAGATTCTCGTATAAAGATTTGGTCAGAAGTGAGAGCTACATCAGACAAGCATAAAACAAGATCAGTCAATCTACTGAATCGAGAAATCATATTGTATGGAAATTTTCAATAACAAGCATTTCAGATTCTGACCAGAAAATTTCAATTATAACCAAAATGTTAATAAGAAAATGCAAAAATTCTTTTGAAAGCTTTTACCAAGGTTTTGGTTCAGTATCTATATTGACTTTTGAGAGTTCATATCAATTTAGTTCTTACACTCATGTTTTCATGAGTAAGCCATTTTCTATTCGTTAGCGTTATTTCTCGATAAAAAGCAAATTTTCAATTTTGTTTTTTTGTGGACACAAACTCGAAATTTAATTTTGAATTGAATAGAAATCAATACATTATAGTAGATTCCTTTGAATGAAAAGCAATGTTTAAAATCAAATGGTTCATTTTTTGGAAGCAATATCTGCTTTTCAAAAGTTCAAATACAAAGGATCCTATCGAATTTGGTAAACGACTTTGAACTAAAATACCATATATCTGATTTTATAGATCGATTTCTGGCGTACTGAATGACCTATAAAACATCACATTCTATGAAAATTTTTATGTGTTAACGGTTTGTGTACTGGTAATAATCCTAGAAAAATATATATGTCAGTATATTCAATTATTTATCACCGAACAAGTGAGTACCAACGTAAAACTTTCTCACGAATTGTATACTATCAAGCTCTAGATGTTTGACAGATAACATCTTTCAGAATAGTAAGAGTCTATTATCAATTTGTGAGATTGCCCCCTAGAATAGTCTATTTGTCTATATGAAGGAGTTGATATTTTAACAATATTCAATGATCTTATTAAAAATGCTTATATACTAATAATCAGCACAACATCTCTGATGAAGTGATATAACTTAGCTCCTTTACAAACCGAAAATATTTTTTTTTGGCCTGTAGCCCTCGGAAGGGTGGAAGGGTATATAGAAAAGCTTATTTTTGAAATGAACATAAGGTATTTATAGACTCTTCTAGATTTTCATTCATCAATCAAATCTAGATACTCAAAATAAAAATTTGAAAATGAAATAATAAAAATAGCAGACTTTCTTCCTGCATACGTATTCCCGTACTTCACTACAGAGGTGTAGAAGTCGAAAAGCTTTTTTCCAATTATAAAAAAGTTATCTATATCAGTTTATCAGAGATGCTGTAATGATTATCAGTACATAGAAGTTGTTAATCAAATCGTTGAGTATTGATAAAATATCAACAATATACCAGTTCCTTCATGTAGAAAAATAGACTATGTTAGGAAACAATCATGCAAGCTGACAATGAGTTCCAGCTGTTCTGCCAGATTTTATGTTCGAAACATTTACAACTTGATAGTGTACAATTTTCGAGAAAGTTTCACATTGATACTAATGTGTTCTACAGTACAAAATATGAATACACTACAATGTCATATAATCAAGAAATGACGTAGACGTAAGAAAAAGTTTCATTTTTAAGTATGAAGAAAGCAACAATGAAAAATATTGAAGAACATCTATAACTCTATCGCATTGAGTTTGAAAATAAAATTTGCATAAGTCCATCTTAGGAAATAGAAGATCTATGAGTATCATACGTATATATTTTTCAAGAATTATAAACAACATATGAACTCTTATCACATTGAAAATTTTCATAAAACTTGATTTCTTATATATCATTAGATGTGTTGATAAGATAAATCAACAAATCTGATGAAGTCTTTTTCATTGCTATGGTATGCCATAGTTCAAGCAAATAGGCCGATTAGTTTGTAAAAACTTAACGCCTATAAATATTGATACTTGATGTATTCATTACTTGTGTCTTTGGATTGTAGAAACTCTTATATTAAAATGGTCAACATAAATATATTTATATTTATATATAATTTGTTACTGATAAAGATATCAAAATCATCATATTCAATGTACCACATAAAATGAATATAAATAAGAAACTCTTGAAATGCATAACATCTTCTTACGTTTACTTTTTTTAAAAGACAAAAAAAAATGTACACAAGAGATCACTTATATATGTGTATAATACCAGAAAAAAAAAACGTTCATTGAAAGGAAGCGGCGACACTACTAACGGCGTGTAACATTTGAGATATAGAAAAAAAAAAGAAACGAACGCAACAATGCACGATGAATTATTTCATTCTTTTGTTTTTTTTCGTGCACAAAATAAAGACATGCCCATTATTAAATATATATAATAAACAATAAAGCAGAAAAAAAATACAAAAAGAAAAATAATTAACCAATGTTATGTTGCATTATGAAGAAGTCCATCAAGAACACGAAGTCCATTTTGAGTAACTATACCCATATTTTGGCTATAACCACCAAGATTATCACGTGCAGCTGTTGATGCTGTTGTATTAGAATAATTTCCATATGTTGGACGACGTTGTTGTTGTTGTTGTTGATATTGTCCAACATAACTACCGAATGATGATGATGATGGTCCAGCTGTTGACTGTTGTTGTTGTTGATTATAATTCATTGGTGATGCTGATTGAAATCTTGCTTTAGCTCGATTATCAGCTGCAGAATTAGGTCGAAGACTTGACACCTAAATTTAAGAAAATAAAAAACAAAAATTTATGTTTTGAATTATGAAAATAGAAAATAAAATCTACAAATTTATTATTAACTCTTGCTTGTGCTCCACTACTTTTATCACTTGGTCCACCACGTTCATCATTAAATATAACAGTTGGACGACGAATATAATAATTATTATTCGTATTATTATTTCCACCATTTGTTAGTTTAGCTGGTGGAGTTGGTGTTGGAGCTGAACCGGAACGAAAACCTTGATTTGCATTTGTTTTTTCACGCATTAAATTTCCATTATTGGGTTTCTAAAAAAATAATTCATTTCAGAAATTTTTACTAACGAGAGAACTAACCCAAGTGATATCCGTTATTTGGGCTTATAAACAAAATCTTAATGAAAACAACAACAGCCTGGAAAAATTCGTTCTGATGAAGTCTTTAGCCCCCAATTATGACCAGTTTTCTGGATTTTTTTTATCCATTTCAAGTATTCTTCGAAAGA